TTAAGAGTCAACCACGCCTACCTAAAACGGCTCGTTCTAACATGCCCCCACATGTCTAAGTCACTATCTGGGAAGATTTGAACGCCGCCCAAATGTTCACGCAAAGAAAGAAGGTGTAACTTTTATTCTCGCTGTAGTATTGTTGTTGCCACTGCCATGTTGTGAAGGCGCTGTGTGTTTCGTTGTGAAAGCGAAACTACTTTGTTTGGTCTTCCAAAAGAGGACACGACTAGAAATCAGTGGTTAAGTTGTATTTACAACACTGTTCCAGAACAGTTCAACCCAAATATTCAGATGTGTGCAGCACATTTTATGGAGGACTGTTTCCTGATCCTGGGAGAGTAGACTATAATGCCGGCTGTTCTGACTCAAAGACTGTAAGAACGTTTTTTATATTTAAAGGATTTGCCACTGACGATTCAAACGCGAGTTTTTAGCAGTGTAGAGTAGTGCTTGTTTGTCATTTCTCCGATCATAAATGCAGACTTGGTTTTATGTTTACGTGGCGCGATGCAATACAACGTGTAAAAGGACAGTATAAGTCATGTTTTTTATATTTAAAGGATCCACTGGATGCAACAAATGCCTCTTTTATAATGGGTTTTAATGTTTTTGTCTCGTCGCTCCGGCCGGGACAAGGCATCACAATATGGTAAGGGGTGTAACATTTCCGTCACACGCTTGAGGCATTTGGCCAATCACAACGCACTGGATAGCTGGCCAATCAGAGCACACCTCACTTTTCAGACCGATGAGCTTTGTAAAAATCGACGCGTTTCAGAAAGGCGGGGCATAGAGGAGAAATAATAATGTACAGTATGTGGAAAATAATGTGTTTTTTTAACCTTAAACCGCATAAACACATTTCATTACACCAAATACACAAAATAATGTTCTTTTTAGCAACATCATATGACCCCTTTAACAATACGAAATATCACTGAAATCAATGTACACAAGAAAAACTGTAAGATTTGTCTGGTCAACATGAAGCCACATTTCTAAAAGAAACTCAAACAAGCTAATGGGCAGACATTTTGCCATCAATGTTAACAACAGATCAAAAGCTTTCATAGAGGTGATGATAATGCTACAATAATTCAACTGCAGTAGAGAATTAGATGTACCCTGTGAAGAGCCTCACCAGTGTGCAAAAAACTTCTTTTGTAGAGAAAATTATGCAAATAAACGGTATTTCAATATGTATGAATGGTGTGACACTCTTGCTCGTTTCCTTGCCATAATATAAGTGGCTATTCAACTGATAAAGAACACAGTAATCTTTTTATTCACAGAAATGAAAATGTTTTATGCAAAAGAAAAAACTTGCTTCGTTCTATACCATTTCTTGAAGTAGTATTAAAGTGATCCGGATTTTCAAATGGTGCCATCACTGTTATGAAAATGTTAAACTGTTCTCTCCTTGTATGGTCCATTGTTGTGAATAGACATACAGAACACGCAGGACAAAAGACATGTCACAGATTTCCACTAGAACAGACATTTTAATTCATTCAGTCTTACTGTAAATCAGATCTTGTGACTGGAAACAAAAGAGACTGAAAGAGAAGTTTTATAAAAGGTGATCTGCTGCGATCAACCTCTAGACAAGACCTTGACCTTTACATTTCAACATTTAATTCAACCATAATCTTTTAATTTAGTA